TGTCGTTTCTCCTGCACGAGGACACGCGCGGGGCCGTACCAGCCCCCCTTCTTGCCGGGGCTGTTCTCGAGGCCCTTCCCCTTGCGCCAGAAGTAGATGAGGTCACCTGGATACCAGGTCTGGTAGACGCGGTTCCGAGCGTGCTCTGCGTGCTGGCGACGTTCCGCATATTCTATTTCCAGGAAGCTCTTGCGCGCGAGCAGGCGTCGCTGTTCTTGTGTCTCGCCAGTGTCCCCGTCTATGATGGCGAACGGGTTGCTCGAGGCGGGCATTCTGGTCACTCCCATCACATGCTCGAAAGGCGAGTGGTTGCCAGCCTTGTCCATGGTGTTGATCGCCCCCACGGCCCATGAGATCAACTCTTCAATGGGACACTGGGTCCAGGGTCGCCAGCTTCGTCATCAGTCGCTTGAAAAGTTTCTCATCCGCCCTCAACCTCGCCCATCAGCCAGTGGGCCTCGCCTGGGGCTATCCACAGTTCGATGCCGCGGTCCGAGCACCACTTGGCAACTGCCTGAGAACGATGGCAGCCTTCGGGGTCGAGGCGTAGAAGGCTCGGCCGACGATAGTAACCGCACCACGTGATCCACGTCGAGATCACCTCGGACGTCGTCCTGTTGCCGTTCCGCTCCCCTCCTGCCCATGGAGTCTGACGCTCGTCAGCCCAGACCCTTCGTCCAGGTTCAGCGTTATTACGAAGATGTCCAGCTTCGGTGAAAGCCACTCCAGGCCGTCCGAGGCCAGGACCTCGAGCACTGCGGGTATCTCGATGCCTGACGCCACCTTCACTGCCTTTGGTAGTTGTCCCATGTGGCATCCGTGGCACTGGAGACGAAGTGCCAGTCGGAGTACCTGAACTGGGGTTCCTGAGGCCTTGAGGATCTTGTAGAGCGGCTTGTTGCTCGGGTGCCTGAGGTTCCGGTGGAGTCGCGTCAACCGTTGTTCGATCTCCATTTCTTTGTTGGTCGGGGTGTCCGAAATCCCGAGACCCTTTCTGATCGTGTCCTCGTGTAGGTCGTCGAGGCAGTCTTGAAGGAGGCCATCTTCCAGAGCTGCCTCCTGTTCGCCCTCGGCGTCCTCTGGGATCTGCTCCAGGCCCGTGTAGATCTCCTTGCCGTAGTTGACGCTCGTGTTCTTGCGCATGATGTGCTTCTCCCAGGCCCTGCACAGCGCCGGCGGGTAGTACGCGGTCTGAGCCACTACCTGGCCATCTTCGATGGCTCGGTGGATGTGGTTGTCGCCTCGCCCAGGACGGTTGGAGCACGTCCTCGCGAGCTCCGCGCTGAATTCAGGGCCTTCTTCATCAGGAGGCCGGACCACGCCTCGCGGAGGCCATGGGCACATCCATGAATCACGGTCTCATGCATCGGCTCCCGCATCGACTTAATGGATGGCGATTGCGACCAGCTCCGACTCATAGCAGGCTGTTCGATATCTGCGTGGCCATTGGTGACGTTCTTTGTCTCCTCCCAGAGCGTCTGGCAATTCCGCTGGATCTGACGTGCCTTGAGCACCTTCGCCTGGTATTGCAACTTTTGCTGGTCGGTTCTCTGGTTGATTTTCTGGATTGGACAATCCGCGGTACACGTACACTGTGGACTCAGGACCAGTCGGCGGGGTCGGAGGCGTCGGAGTAGATGAAGTGCGCGCCGGAGGCTGGTCGCTGTCGCCATGTCTATGCCGTTGAAGAGGCCTCATCGGTACACCTTGCCACTCTGCTCCTGCACAGCCTTGCTCGGGCCAAAGTGGGCAGCACACTTCCATGAGGTCGATGCGGTAGGGCTTGGAAGCTCCGTGGCGTCCTCGGCGATGTTCTTGTAGATCTCGTACGGGACCTGGTCGTGGCCCTCGTAGAACAGCCTGAGATCCTGGTCGTCGAGCTGTTTCAGCGCTTCCTCTTGGAGTCCGCTTCCTGTAGGTCCGAGTCGTCGAGCATTTCCGCCGTAAACTTCACCCGTCCTCGATCTCTGGAGAGGTCGCCTTGTGGACCAGACGCCGCCAGCGTAGAGCCACGGCCTGGCTCTGGGTCGAGTCGGCGGGCGCCGTCGTGCACTGGTGACTCTTGCCCCCGCGGCAGCTGCACCCCCGAATCGTTCTCCCAGGAGCTCCGCAGCACGAGCAGATGCTCCTTGGAGATGTTGTCCTGGTCGGCGCCGTCGCTGGACCGGGAGGGGGACTGACTGTCGGTGAGGCCGCTGCTGTTGCTTGACGGAGGCGCTGGTGACTCTTGCCCCCGAAGCAGCTGCACCCGCGCTTGGTTCTCCCCGGAGCTCCGCAGCACGCACACTTACCCGCTTGGTTGTCGTAGATCGCCGAGGATCCGGGTGTCGTTGGAGCTGGCGTCGTCGGAGCTGCCGAGGACGGTGTCGATGGCGCCGCCCGTAGTCGCGGGCGAGCCCACTCCCGGCGAGCCGCAGGCACAGGCGGTGGCTGTGTGCCGATAAGGGCCCAGCCGAAGAGCCGCTGCATGACATCCAAGTGGTCGGAGCCAGATTGGGAAGGATATCGGAGGTCGTGACAGGTATCAGGTCGGTGCTGCCACCGAGTTTATGAGTCCAGCCGAACGAGGCTGCAGACAGCAGGATGATGAGCATCGTTTCGAGTTTGTTTCTGCTCGAGCTGGCTGTTTGTCGGCTCCGTCGTGATGTCGGCTAGCTTCGGCTCCGTTTGCTGCACCGTCAGGTCGACTAGCTGCTGTCTTCTGCCATGTCTGGCTGACTGTTGATGTTCCTGAGACGGATTCTGTCCATACCGTAGGAGATGGGGTCGCGCGAGGATCCAGCGAGCCGCTCGATGTCGAATTGTCTGTCGCTCTCGCTGACCCGCTCCGTTCTGGTGTTTCCGTCGCTCTGGTAGGTGCTTGTACCGTCGGTGCTTCCGTTGCTCTGGTAGGTGTTTCGCATGCTCGCTGACCAGGTCGGATCGGCCCCCCCGATGATGTTGATGCCGACTGAGGAATTATTTTCTCTCACAGGATTATCACCAGGGGGCGTTGTCCCTAGCGCACGGCAAGACCGCCAGGGCTCGGGGCCGTCTCTTCGGACAGCTCCTCGATCAGCGCGTCCGGGTCTGTCGGCCCTGCTGCCAGACACCCCAGATTGGGCAAGAGAATCGGCACCTCCTTCCACCACTGCGGGGTCGACGGGTTGACCGCAATGTGGTTGCTGGACAGACGCTCGCAGTAGAGCACGCTGTTGCCGAGGGTAGGGAGGCCGATCCAGTTGCGGCCACAGTCGACGACCACCTTCAATGGGTTACTCAGGATGTCCATGCCGAGGAGGATCGTGACACGGTTCGGCGTCACGGACAGGCGAATTCGAAAGGTCGAGCCTCCCAGGAAGACGTTGCTGGTGACGGTGCCCATCGAATTCAGAGGCCGTCTCCGAAGGTGAAGGAACACGCGTCGCTGTTTGTTTCGAACTCCTCGCCATGTTCAACGAGCACCTCGTACATGATGTTCTCGATCCCTTCGACGCCGCTGAGGCTCCTTGTGGCCCCGAGGTCGAGGATCGCCCAGATCCTTTCGCGCTCGAGTAGGAACAGGTACTCATCCAGGGCCGGGAGGATGAAGCCATTGTGCGTATTGCTCGGCCCTCGCTGGTCGCCCTGCTTGGTCTTGTGGTCGATTCTCTTCGGGCAGTCCGCCGCTCTGTGGCCATATTTGTGACACGCGAGGCACTTCATCTTAGACAGGTCACGGCGGCCCCCTCCAGGAGCGTCCTCTTAGCGATTGCGTCCTCCAAATCGTCGCGATCCTGGACATGATCTCGCCCCGGCATCGGTAGAGGAGGCATCCGGCGCTCTCGCTCGTCCTTGGTGGCCACCGCCGGGTAGTTGTCTCGAGATATCCATAGGCGTCGCAGTAGATCCCGAGCGTCTTTGAAGCTCCTGCCCACCTGCTTGAATTCGGCGAACACCTCATTGTCCTCGCGGTGGTCGTCAGCTGCTTTTCCATCGTCGTCGTCGTCTTCGTTTGCGAGATTGATCAGCTGCTCGACCACATCAGCTATCTCATCATAGTTGTCTCCACCGATCTTCTCCTCAGCGTCGTCGCCATCATATTCGTAGAAGGTCTTGTCTCAGCGAGCCTCGCCGTCAAGCTCTGCCAGTGCCTCTGCTGGGAACCTCGTCAGCAAAGTCTTGTAGGTCTGCGCGTAGTCGTAGTCGCCACCCGCGGTGGCCGTAATCTCTCCACGCTGGACAGGTGTCAATCTGGACTTCCGGAGGAACCACCGGGTGCGTAGTGGTTTAGCTAAGACTTCTCGGACATCGCCGTCTATGGCCTTGAGCTGGGTTAGCAGCTCGCGCTCCTTCTTCTCGGACCGGGCGGCCCAGTCCTGGAAGGTCTCCCTGGAGTTCCTCGAGACATTCACGAAGAAATCCTCCGCGAGAAGTCCGGTGTCGTTGAGGCTCGTGCAACTGAGCGGGCGAAGAACGGTACAACATAAATTTCTTCGCTGCCGGGGGCGCTTGTCCCAGGGCGGCTGGAAAGTTTGTGCCCTTACGGCAGCAGCGTAGCCTATCCAGCAGCCCAGGGGCAGGCGTCCCCGACGGCGGAAAAGTTGATGTTATACCGTTCTTCGCCCGTAGCCTAGTTTCTTGAGCACCTAGTCTAGCACTCGGTTTCAACCGACCAGGTTCCCGTCCTTGTCTATCTCGTCCACTGCGTCGATGTCTGGACAACTCTCCACCGTCGTGCGAACTCGCGCCCCGAGGGCGCGCACCAGCTGCGGGCCGCGCACGTAGCGGTCCGTCACCTTGATGCTCTTCGTGAACATGTCGACCTCGAAGCGGCAGCTCGACAGCTTCTCCGCCTCTCCGTTCCATGCCGGCACGTCCGCTCGCGTCGTTGTCTGCTGAGGGCCCGTCGTCGTCATCGCTGCCGACTCGATGCGGGCCGACGTTCAGGCCGAGACCGGTGGAGGCCCGTGGTTCTCGGAGATCACAGGGTCCGCTACCAATCTGATTCGTAGAGCTTCCTGATGAGGTCTACGTCGGAGTTATCGTCGTCGTCAGACGTGGTGTATAGTCCCGAACATCGATGTCGATATTGTGAGGACACCTTTTGTCCTCTCCACTGCGATTGCTTCCCCTGGCGTAGTCTGGCTGGTAACTGCCAGCTCTCTGTCAGAAATAATCCCGCCCACCCTCGCCTGGAGCCGAGAGCGGCGATGGCACGGACATGGCAGGACGGCGAGGCAGGAGGAGAGTATACGGAGCCATCCTCCTGTGTAGCATTCAGAGAGGGGGCTCCGAGGTAAGGGGTGGAAGTTGGGAAGGACGAGCCAGTTTGTGGACTAGGTCTCGCAGGCGGCTGCAGCATGTGCTTTTAACTGCCTGCCGCAGGGAAACGCCACATATCTTCAGCACAGGTTCCGCTGATGCCATTCTGGGCCTGTGCGGGCGACCCCGCGCGGTCCCGCGGGGCCATGCCGTGGGGAAGTCGGCGCGGCACAGCAGTCCGGTGGAAATGATGTTTTGATGTTTTGCTGTTCGAAGCTAGATTTTTGGGCAGTGATGCCTAACCTGCCGTTTTGGGCGGTTGTGGTTTTCGGACGTGTGTCGTCGCGAGGTCAGCCGTTCGGTCAGGCTGCGGATTGTTTCGGACGAGTATGTCGACGTTTGGGACGCCGTGCCTTGTCAGTAGTCCAGGTGGAGGAAGAGGTGGGTGTGCTCTGGACTCAGGGCCATGCTCCCAGGTCCAGATCCAGTGCGATAAGTGGTGTCCTAGGCGATGCCACCGAATCATTCAAACCCAGACACCTGCGAAAATTTGGATTTTTGCTCCCCTCCTTCTCCGTGTTTGTTCAGGCCGCTCGTTGAGCGGTGGCGCACCCTTCCCGTTTTGGGCTGTGATCTCCTGACGGGGACAGGATCCGTGCAGTTGCCTTCTCGCAAGGGCGAAGCGGGCTTGGGCATACTGTAGCGGTCTCGTTCCTCGGCTCCCCTCCATTCGATGGGGGTGCTGCAGGTCTCCTGCCTTCGTTGGCTTCTTGGCCTCCCCCTCCTCGTTCCCATGGGCCCCTTCATGTGGAGCCTCCCTGATGGCTTCCCCGCTTTCCTTTGCTTTGCAGCACGCTCCCCTCGACCCCCAGTCGTGCCCCCCGCTGGCCTTGCGCGGTCTTCTCTGTTGGTCGGAGCGGAGGGGTCGCGGGGTCGGAGCGGCGATGGCGTGCGCCTGCTCGCGCCCCCGGTGCCGCTGCCGCCCCGCCGCCCCTGCTGCGCGCTCGCGCACGCTTCGCTTGCTCGCATTGGTAGTGTGCTCGCGCGCCCGTGGAGCAACCATCTGGGGTTCGTGGCTCAATCAGGTTTGTGGCTGAGGGCCTTCTTCTGCAAGCGGGGCTTTGTCTGCCTGAGTCGGGGGGGTTGTCGTCAACGGATCGGAGAAGGACAGGGCCGACTGACATGTACGTCTGGAGGGTGCTCGCGGGACGTGGGGTCAGGATGATTTCGGGAAGCAGCGTAGTGGCGTGGGGCGCTACGCCTCGCCAGTTGCCTGTAGACAGGCGTTCCACCCCCAGAGAGTCCGCCAGAGAGGCGATGGGTGCCTCCTGGGGTGGATTTCGTACGTCCTGGGAGAAACTATAATTCCCGTGGACTTACTTGTCTTTTCTCCAAGCATCTAATTTCAAAGACGCCTTCGCCGTGTTGAGCTCAGGTCGTACGGATAGTCTCTGATTCTGTCTCTGGTCTTTGTTGGCAAGGTCCTCATGGATTTCCAGATCCATATTGACCATTTCCTCGTCCTGCTTATCGTTATGGGACCAGTGCCCTGGGCTAGAGTTTACAATAAAGACCACACGGTGCCTCAGGCAATGCTGCCGCAGTCTCCTTTCTCATTTGTTCGACTGTTGTCTTCGGATGTTTTTCCTTGCAAGCGATGCGTCGGTGAATTCTGACTTGTCCATCCCAATGTTCTCTTACACCTGATCCCCCTCGCCCACGCATCACTTAGATGCTAGATTGTCAGAGCTTTACATGCTGAAGCGAGGACGGCATATTTCGACTTTTTGTGCCTCCCCGAACCTCAGTGCATGGAGAGAATCATTCCTGGTATTCGCCGCAGATGGCCAGGACTCCATTGCAACTACTTGCGATCACACCATATGTTTTGTGTAATCTCTCTAAAAGACTTTTGTGGAATTGCTACTGTTATCCGGCCGTTGTTCGCTCGACAGCGTTGAGACACGAACTGTCCCTGCCATGTGGTGCTTGCAGCTTCAGTGGCTAGTGAGAAAGGTGCCTCATCTAGGTTTGGCAGAAATCGCCGTTCTATTTCTCCCCCGTCTATTGCTTATCTGTGGGCTCGAGAGGACTTCGCGCCACACGCCCTTCCGTCCAAACGTTGCGTTTGGCAGACGACCTAGGCTGCACCCCACGCTCTCGCCTCACTGTCCCCATCTCGTTGAGTGAGTCCGGGATCTCTTTCCAGGTCCTCATCATCGAGTTCCACCCCTCCTTTTCCTGTATTCCTCCTCCCCTGTCGATTACGTTATGGGACCACCGCTCAGGCCATGTGGAACCCAGGCAGGGAGTCAGGGCTCCCCGCTTGAAAGCCCTTTGGGCCCTATTTGTTGAGAAGGCCTCCCGCCATCCGAGAGGCGTCGCGGCCAAGGGAGGGGTATGCCGATGCCAAGGAGGAGGCAGCGAACCACACATATTGGAGAGGCCTTACGGCCAGTCTCGCAGATCCAGGAGGTAGATCAGGAGGCCCCGGGGAGGCCGCGAGGGAGTCGAGGAACGCGCGAATGCAGGTCGGCAGTTATCCCAGAATGGCTCTAGCGGCCTTCGGCCTATCCCGCTACTGCGCCCCGGGAGCCCCCGGAAGAACCCCCTGGGACACCCTCAGGACCCCCTACCGCACCCCAACGGGGAAGGGATCAAAGAGAAGGGGATTCCTCTCGACTCTATTGCGACCTGGCTCGATTCACCTCGGGTTGGCGTGCTTGGAGAGCCAAAAATGGTCGCCAGCAAGAGAGGGCAAACTTCGACTCAAAGAGCGTCTTTCAGGACAACCCTGGGACGACAGCCCAGAACTCTCCCTGACACACGCCGACAGGGTCGACGGATTTTGATTCATCGTATCTGCCACCCAGTCCCAAAGCAGACTGCGAGCAGCACTGGCAAAATCTGGAGTCACATCAGTCCAGCTTAATGTGAGCATGAACTGGAATCACGTCTGGCATGCTAACAAGCTCGAGCAGATCAATCATCATATGTTCAATCGTGGCAGCGCCTGGGGGTTTCTGTCTTCATTGCTTGTACTCTCCCATCTTTGGGCGCAGAATCTAGAGCAACCGAACCGCATAAATGCCCTCCCCGCCAGAGATGTCCTCCGGGGCGGGCGGAGCATCCCACGAGTTCCTCTCAGGACGGGGTACGCGCAGAGGAGCACCTATCGATGGTTCTCTTCGGGACTGGCAGAGCGTACCACTGGTGCCATTCAGGAGCCTGGGAACGCAGCCATCCACAGGACCCTTCATGTTGTTACCCTCTACCAGTCCGAGGCTCATGTGGTATGACATTGTATGTCAGCCTGTGGTGTGCTGTTGAATACATGCGATACGTTTAGATGCGATGCGACGCGGTGCAGCGCGACATAATGCATGCGACGTCATGGTAGCCATTGTGGACTCTTGCTTTTCATGGCGTTGCCAGGTATGTACTTACATAATACATGACGGTATGAATGCCGCATGCCCTCAATGTATTTCTTTGGTTGCCATCCCCTTCTGGTCTAGTCAGAGGGATGGAGGTTGGGCGTAGTTGTAGCGTTCAGGTCGTGGCATCCATGGTGGCCGCTCTGGGTATGGGCCTCATCGCCACAGCCATCCGCTTCCACTTCTTCCCGGAGCAGAGGGGGCACTGGCCCTGGGACTGGGAAGGCCGTGGCCGAGCTCCTGCTGGAGCAGCGTTAGGAAGAAAGAGCAGGGAGTATCTGGTTGCGCTGCCGCGCATATCCGCCGCCGCGCTCGGAGAGAAGCTCCGCCGCAGCTCCGAAGGCGTGGCCCTGCAATTCTTAACTGCCTGGTTGTTGCGTTGCCTCTCGGGCCTCCTGGGGCGCTCTTTCGGGGTTTCCTGGGAGCTTCTCGGGGGCCTGTCTTGGGCCCCTCGGGATGCCTGTACGTGGGCCGTCTCGGAAGGTCTTTTGACCAGGGGGGTGTCTTTGGGCCTCTTGTGGTCTGCCGTGGGGCTCTCGGGCCTTTTGAAGCCTTTTGCCCCTTCGTGGGGCTACCCTGGGGCCGTCTTGGAAGCTATCGTGCCATCTTGGGGGGCCTCTTGGGGCCTCAGTGAGGCTTTCTGCTGTCCTGGGGGGGGAGTCCCCAGTGTGAAACGCCTGCTTTCGATGCTGTTGAGCCCTCTGGGAGAATGCTGGCAACCCTCCTGGAGGGCTCTTGGGGCCACCTTGAGCCATCTTGCAAGCACCGTGGGGTCACTTTCAGCTCATGATGCTGTCGAGGAAGCCTCTTGGGGCCTCCAGGCGGGAATGTCAGAACCTTCTTGGGCTCTCAAGGGGCTCCCTTGTCGAATCCGGATGCCCGCTGGGTCGCTTAACGGGCCTTCAACCTGTCGGGCTTGATGGGGTCTTCAGACTGTCTTCCGCCCAGCTCTGCTAGGGATCTGTGCAGGGCCTGGGCGGAGTGCAGGGGTATTCCCCAAGACCCCACCCTGGGGGATACGCAGCGGTAACGAGGTCGCTGAAACATGGAACGACGTAACGAGGGCGGGAAGCTGCATTCATTATCCGCCCCGGGGCCGTCTCTCCGAGCTCATAGGCTGGCCATGAGCGGGGCCCAGTCGGGCCGTAAAGTTTCCTGCGTATTGAGACGAGCCAAGTTTGCTATGCGACCGCACTCGTGGCGTTCCCCAGGCGCAGACGGCCGCAAGATGGCCTCAAGATTTCCCCCCCTTGCGGCAGCACGACCCCCCGAGGCAGCACGGTGACTCCGTGCATGTGCGTTGAGGCCCTGGCGGATCAAATGTCAGACAATTGAGTCTGAATGTTTTGATCACGTTGGAAACCCTGAAATAGGCTTGGCACTACTACAAATCCTGGGGCTCCTCGAGACGGCTCAAGGTCGCAGCAGCACCAAGACGGTCCTAGGATTGCCCAGGACCGGCCCAAGATGGTCACAGAGGCGCCCAGAGACAGCTCTGCGAGCCCGAACGCTCCAGGAGATCCCCGGCAGGCTTCAAGATCCCCCCCAGCGGGTCCCTGAAGCCGACGACAGACCAAGAGGGCCCAACCCTGCCCCCAAGATAGCCCCAGGGTGTCCCACTGATCATCCAATGGGGCCCCCCCCCGAGCCCCGAGAAGGACCCGAAACGAGAGCTCCTCGAGGAGCCTGGACGCCGACCAACAGGGACCAGCGTGAGGCCTCCATTCTCGCCCCCCCTTCTAATTCCTTCCCTCTCCCTCCCTCCCTCTCTTCTTCCTCTCTTCTCCATCTTCCTTTCCTCCTCGTCGTGACCTCCTCTGTCTGCCCTTTCTCCCTGCTATTCAACCTGTGGCCGTGACTTCCTCTGTCTTTCTCTTTTCCCTGCTATTTCACAGAGGATCCCGATTTGCACCTATGGCATGGAGCAGCGGACAACATCGACACCAGCATGAAGCTTTCCTTCTCCTTGTTTCGCTCCTTCCTCTTCCTCCCTCCGGGGAAACGGACAGCACGGGAACCGCCGCGATGACGAGCCATGAAATAACATAGCGCTCCATGGCAGTGGTACGTCTCGCCCACAGGTGCCTCAACAACCTCAGTGCAACTCCGTACTGTGCGTTTTTGTGTTACGTTGGCTCTTTCTGTCGCTCTCGCTCCGTTCTGTCATCCTTCCTACCGCAGCAACATCCTCTGCCCAGGCACTTTCTCAGACATGGGTGGGACAGCAGCGGTCAGTCATGTGGCCTCTGTGAGGCTTCTTCTCTCGCTAGCTGGTTACCGCGCTGACGGTCAATATTTTTCTGCGCTGAATTGTCGCGGCGAAGGCTTTCACGTCAAGCAGATGAATGTGGTCCCTGGCAATAGCGCCGACATTCTTCTTGGGTCAGCGATGACCCTGATGACTCAAACGTCGACTACTGTGCCCTCTTTGCAGAGTGTAGTGCTGTTGTGCGGGAAGCTTTGACCGACTTGCAGTAATGTTTGTCACCTCTTGTGCCCCCACCATTCTATCCAGACGCGATGCTCCCTCGAGTTGTCGGGAGAAGGGAACTTGAGAGTCACATAGTGAAGTAACGAGGTCAGCAATGATGAGCCTTCAGACGCCTGGGATGCCTTTTGGAGGCCTCTTGGAGCCTTGTTGGGTCTCTCTCGGTTCCCTTCGGAGATGCAGTTAAGCCCTCTTGGAGATTTCTTAGGGCCTTCTTGAGAGATCTTGAGGCGCTCGTGGAGCCATCCTGGAGAACATGTATGACAAGAGGGAGGGGCGGGGGGCTCAGTCGGCGTTGCCCACTTAGGATCTAAAACATCGCCCCGTGCGGGGTCTCTCGAGGGTCCTCTTAAGGGTCTTTGGGGCCCTTGTGGAGCCTTCTGGGCCCCTTCTCGGATGATCTTGGAAGGTTTTGGGGCCATCATGAGGCCTCAGAACTCCGCCAGAAACGAACGTGCGGGACCGCACACATCATTGAAAGTTTTCTGTGTGTTAAGGACTTTACCCCTCGGGATTATCCCCTACCGTAAGAGTACGTCGCTGGGGCCGCTTACGGAAGCCTGTAATACTTCCAGTGCAGTGCTGCTGTACCGCAGCCATTTCTAGCTTTTCTGCGCTCAGCCATACAGCATATTGTGTACTCTGCGTGCGATACTACATGAAGCCGATCCAGAGCGGATCGGCTCTCTGTGCAAAACGCCCCGTCTCATTAGGTAGGACAAGTTGTTACGCTTCGCAAATCCCCACCAGCCCATTCAGGAGCCCTTCCCATGAGAGCTGACGGGTAAAGGAGAGAAGAGCCGCATATAGTGACACAGAGCGTGCAAGGAGAGGAGAGGAAGGAGGGTGTTGAGCCATCTTGGAGCATCGGAGGCCTTCTTGGAGCTACAGGGCTGTATTGGGGGATATTGGGGTCCTCTTGGAGCTCGTTCGGGGCATCTTGGGGCCTTCTTGGGGCTCTTTGGGGCGTGTTGGGGTTCTCTTGGGGCTCTTTTGGGGCGCATTGGGGCCCTCATGGGGATCTCTTGGGGCTCTCTTGGGAGCTATGGAGCGCCTCCTGGGGCCATCTTGGGGACAATCGATCAAAAGAGGGGGGGTCTTCGATTTTCGTCGCGCCTCTGGGGCCCTCGAAATAGCCTCTTGGGGCGCTCTTGGGACCTTCTTGGGGCGATCTTGGGCGATCTTGGGCGCTCTTCGGGCGATCTTGGGGGCCTCTTGGGCCCTTCATGGAGCTCTCTTGGGCCATCTTAGGGCCATCTTCAGGCCAAGCGCATCGGTGTGCTTCTCGGCCCGCCTTCTTCCTTGCCTTGGCCCCGCGTCCCGCGGCTCCTTCTCCCCTTCTCTCCTTCCCTCTCCCGTCTTCTTCGGCTCCCGGTTTTCCCCCCTCTTCCTTCCCCCTCTCCCTCTCCGTGTCCCCGCCGTCCCCTTGTCCTTCCTCGCCCTTGTGCGTGGTGTGCTCTCCATCTCCCTGCCTGCCAGGCTTCCCCTCCCCGTTCCCCCGTCCGTCCGTCTGTCGGCCTGGTCTGTCCTTTCTGGTCGTCCTCTCTCCCCCTCCCCCTCTCCTCCTCCCTCCTCGGCTCCTCGCTGCCCGTTTTTGCCCCTTGCCTGGCCCGCGTTTCTTTGTCGGCCCGCCCCGGTGTCCGAATAAGAGCCGCGGCGCCCCGCACTGCCGCGTTGGCGGTAGTTATTTGTCAGCTAATGGTCTTGCAGGTTGCTGCACGCTTCCGACACTTCGATCCTCTCGCGATTCGCGCCCCCTTCCGAGCCAGCGCCGGTGCTCCGAGCCGGAGCTGATTTCTTGTATTGTAGCCTGCAGGTAATCTGCACTGGTATTCCACAGAGGTCGTGCTTGCGTTGCACCCCAAGTTCTTTCCGACTATTGGTCTTTTGGAGCCGTCTTGTGACGGTTTTGGGGCCTTTCGGGCGAATGTTGGAGTTGCTTTGCTTTAATTTGGGATTTCATGTGCGATGTTAGATTTTTTTTCCCTACCTAGGCTCTGCCTAGAAGGGTTCTTACTGTGTGGGCTTAAAGGGCCGGGCAGTGGGGCTCGCCCCGGGCGGTTCCCCCGGCATCCGCCCCGCGGTTCCCCCAGTGGCGCCCCCTGGGTTCACCCAGCTTAGCTTAGCTAAGCTTAGCTAAGCTAAGCTTAGCTTAGCTCAACTTGGCTTAGCTTAGCTTAGCTTAGCCTATCTCATCTTAGCTTAGCATAGCTTAGCTCAGCTTAGCTTAGCCTAGCTTAGCTTAGCTTAGCCTAGCTTAACATAGCTTAGCTTACCTTCTTTTAGCTTAGCGCAGCGCAGCATAGCGCAGCGCAGCATTAGCACAGCATAGCATAGCATATCATAGCCAACCATATCATAGCATAGCATAGCATAACTCAGCACAGCCCAGCATAGCATAGCATAACATATCATAGTATAGCATATCATAGCATATCATATCATATCATAACATATCATAGCATATCATAGCATTGCTTAGCCTAGCACAGCGCAGTATAGCATAGCACAGCACAGCACAGCATAGCATAGCATAGCGAAACATATCATGCCATATCATATCATATCATATCATATAATATCATATCATATCATATCATAGCATAGCGCAGTTTATCGTATCATAGCATAGCCTAGCATAGCATAGCATAGCGCAGCATAGCATAGCATGTTGCTGTCGGTGTAGAGGTAGATGTTGCTTTCGTAAATGCTCCAACTCCTAGGTAGGGTCGCACTGGGATAATTGGTTTATTCAGGACCATCTTGAAGCCATCCAGGGCCGTCCGTCTTGGACGCCCTGACCTCTCGGGGAATCACGGTCCAGACCCCGGGAGGGGTCGGCAGAGGGGAAGGGGGATGAGGGTTTGGGAAGACTTGACTCGATGAACCACCTGCCCCAGAAGGGCTGGTGGGATTACTTTGCCTTGTTGCCCATGATGCTGTACATGCTTTGGGCATGCATTGTTAGCGATGTAAAAGTCTCAGCGGTGGCAGGGAAGTAGGACAGAAGGACCATGCACGGGCGTATCGAAGCTTTGATGCCATTTGGGATAGTGTATGTCCAAAAGAGCGCGTTCTGTGGGCGCTTGGAGGCGGGGGTCCAGAACCGGCCCCCCCTGGTTCAAGGGGGGTGGGAAGGTTCGAAGGCCCCCCCCCTCTGGGCCTGCGCCGGCGCCGGCGGCGGTCGCCGTCCCCCTCCCGGGCCGGCGCTGGCTGCGGCGGCGGCTGTCGGCGGCGGCGGGGAACGTCGACGAGGACGACGATTCCAGGGGGGGGCCGGCGCCAGCTGGCGGCGGAACCGGCTGGCGGCAGCGGCGGCGGCGCCAGCGCCGGCGGCGACGACGACGACGACAACGAGCACGACGACGGCGACGACGGCGGCGACGGCGGCAGCGACGACGACGACGACGACAGCGACGTCGACGACGACGACGACTGCGACGACGACGACGGCGACGACGACGACGACGGCGACGGCGCCGGCGACGACTACGACGACGGCGACAACGAGCACGACGACGACGGCGACGATGGAGACGGCGACGACGGCGACGACGACGATGACGGCGACGACGTCGACGAACGGCGACGACGATGACGACGGCGACGACGACGACGAAGAAGACGACGACGATGACGACGACGTCGACGGGGACGACGACGGTGACGACGAGGACGACGATTGCGACGACGCCGACGACAACGACGACAGCGACGACGGGTACGGCGGGGACGGCGACGACGGCGACGACGACAACGACGCTGGCGGCGACCACGACGACAACGGTGACAATGACGGCGACGAGCACAAAGACGACGGCGACGACGGCGACGACGACAACGACGACGAGCACGACGACGACGACGGCGACGACGACGACGACGGCGACGATGGCGGCAACGGAGACAACGACGACGACGTCGACGACGAGCACGACGACGTCGACGGCGACGACGGCGAAGACGGCAACGACGACGACGACGACGGCGATGGCGACGGCGACGACAACGACAAGCACGACGACGACAACGACAGCGAAGACGACGACGACGACGGCGACGACGGCGACGACGACGGCGACGACGATGACTGTGACGCCGGCGACGACGACGACGACTACGGCGACGACGGCGACACGACTGCGACGGTGATGACAACGGCGACGACGACGAGCACGGCGACGACGATAACGACGGCGACCACGACGAACGCGACCACGACGACGACGGCGACGACGACAACGACGACGAGCACGACGATGACGACGGCGACGAGCACGACGATGACGACGGCGACGACGGCGACGACGGCCACACGACGACGACGGCGACGACAACGACGACGACGGTGGCAACGACGAGCATGGCGACAACGACGACGACGACGGCGACCACGACGAACACGACTACGGTGGCGACTACTACGGACTACGGCGACGACGGCGACGACGACGACGACGGCGACGACGACGACGTCGACGACGACGATGACGACGACGGCGACGATGTCGACGACGATGACGGCGACGAGCACAGCGACGACGATTGTGACGCCATGTGCGATGATGGTGCGCATGTGCGCATGTGCGATAATGGTCTGTCCCAGGGATGCCAGTCCGTGCTTCTGTTTTCGAACCTTTCGTACACCGTCAGTAATTCAGCTTGTCGCGTAACCTAACCCAGCTGAGCTGCGTTTAGCTTATCTCACCGCGGCTCAGCTTTAACTCTCCTGGCTCAAAAGAGTTGAGTACTCGGGGCATGGAGGCATGTCGGGGTCTTGGGGGCTGTTGGGTGCCTTTGAGGATTATTGGGCCCCTGTGGGTTGGGCCATTTCGGGGCAAAATTGAAACCCCAGGTACCCATCAACCTGTTACGGCTCAAGATGTTGTAATGA